GGAGTGGGATGGACCAAATTGTTCTTGTAGAGCAGAGGGATTGATCTGTTCCTGCAGAGCGCACACAGACTAAGCACTGAGATATCAGATAAATGTCTTCTCTCTTCATGATCTGGATGCGAACAGCATCTGTCATTCGATCTGGTTCTGCAATCAGAAACTTTCCACTTCCCAGTGGTCTTGTCAGTGAATTTCCTCAATTTTCTCAGTTCGCTGCTCTGGAGGGTCTCTGTGCCATAGTGTGTCATTATGCAAAATTGTCATCCACACCTGAAACACACCAGATTGAACTAATTGCACCGTCACCTGCGCCCCTCACTCACAGTTGTATCATAGGCAATGTCTAATGAGTACAAAATGGATAACAGACATCAGATTTAATGTAACCTGATGAAAGAAGCAACATGGAAGCTTTCATAATGTGATATGTTACATTTCTTTAAAGAAAGACATTTGATGAACAGTTGCTAATGGTACATGTAAAAATGTAGTGTCAGAGAGTCAGCGAACTAACGGAGGAATGTCAGTTACATTACACAATATCTTAGCAAAATCCCTAAGTGTATTGAACTGGGCAATGATGCATTTTATTGCTGATTAATTAAACTTTTATTTGTAGAAGTAATAATGTGTAATTGAGTGTATGTGTAAAACACTACTTGGCAATAAAGCTCCTTCTGATTCAGATTCAGATTCTGATGAGGCATTTTATTTGCTGATTAATTCAACTTTTATTTTTAGAAGTAATACTGTGTTATTGCCTCTTTCCAAAGTTACATAGTGTTATTATAAATATATGAAAATAGCATAGGACAGACTGCACTTTGTGTTGTATGCTGGTTATTTTTATTTACTTAAACGCCAACCTTTCTCCCATTTAAATGCAGTCACATTCATTGCATGTGACCCAAATAATAAAAAGTCAAAAACAAACCTATATAACAATACCAAAGGTACATTCACAGTGTGGTCCTGATTGGCTTTAAACAATAACTCTTCTAATTTGAAGCAGGTAAACCGGTTTAGTGCTTCTTTTGTGCGTGTGTGTGTGCACGAGAGATCGTAATGCATGTTTTTTTAATAATATATAGAGTATGAGGCAGAAAATGACAGAAGGAGAGCTGGAAGAGAGGGAAACATAACGGTAAAGCCGCTCTGTATGTCTGAGATAGTATGAGTGACCTGCCACTCCCATCTTTGCCTCTTTTTCACCTCACCCACTTTCTCTCTCCTAACCACCCGCCTCCTGTCCCCTGCTCACACTCCCCAATCTTGTTTCCTGTTGGCCTGTCTTCTATCTAAGCCTGCTCAGTGTCAGGGTATCAGACTAATTCAATCTCCCGTACACAGCCATTCCAATGTAATGACCCATGACATTCAATTAATGCTTTTCCCCATACTTGGTAGGTTGGGTCAGTAGTAATTTTCTATATGTTTGTCAAGTGTGTATGTGTGAATGCCTAGGTTAAGTGTATGTATAATTTGAAAAAGCTTGGCAGTCAGTGTAACCTTAATTCATATCATCACAACATTAAAATTCTACAATACAACACTGTGTATTTAGATAATTACCTGGGTCTCTGTTTCATAATACTGTCAAAAAACACTACACTGATGACATATGAAAACCTCTGGCTGTCAGTATGAGCTTATTTACTATACTCTAATTATTCCTGCCTTCCGGGCTTCACATTACCGATGTCGTCGCCTCTCGACCAGCTGTCATGCTTATTGGATTGGTGTTGAAAGATTGCTGCGAGTCCTTCAAGAGGTTATGTACATGTGTGAGACTTGGACACACTCAACCAGACAACATATAAACACTATATATACACTCTGTAAGCAATGTAAGCACACACACATAAACCAACACTGACAAAGAGAGTGACTAAATTGGTGCTGACACACGTAAAATGCACAGTTTTAGACACATACTCTTGACTTCCTTTTAGCCTTTTGTAGCCTGTGGCAATTTGGATTAGCATGAGGTTTTAGCTCATAGTCATTATGACTGTAATCCAGTGTGGATTGTTCATGTTCAGTGTCACCAGAGCCTCTTAAATATTTATACATTATCCTAACCTTTGTAATCTACAGTACTTGCTACCATGCTGTGATAACACCGTCACCATATATACACTTCTGGATGTTAATAGACTGATATTATGGCTCATCATATATGGTAATCACACAATGATTAAGAGTGACTTTAATTAAAAGAAGAAACTTTAAAAGATGCTCACACTGTAGGGAAGGTCAGACTCTTCCTTACTGGGGAAGTTCCTAGCTAGTTCTGTTACTGATTGTTACTGTGTTGTCTGCCAAACTTCATTTGTCATTCTTCATCTTCCCCCTCATATTCTCCAGCCTATGTCTGTTCTTTCTTCTCCCCTCCCTCCTATTTTTTTTTACCTACCCCTTTCTGTCCCTTCTACATTCTGTCACACTCTACCTCTGTTTCTCCTTTTGGTAATGATCTAATTAAGGAAGGTTTTGTTGCCTGCCCACCGTGTATAATTGCCATTGGGGTCTGTCTGTACTTCACTCAGCAATTACAAGCAGCATTCTTCTGCTCCCAAATCAGCTAATTAAGCCTTAAGGACAGTGAGCCGATCGTAGTTGCACTAAGCATCAGGAGGAGTCAGGAATGCCTGTGCTCCTCTCACTCCTGGGGCACGCAGAAGTAGTGGATGGAAGAATGGTTGCCATGGTAGCAATCACATGGTGTCAGATCCTGTGCAGAGGCTGTCAGTCAGTTGATCGGTGTGTCACTCTCTTTCTCTATGTGTGTGTGTGTGTGTGTGTGTGTGTATCAGTTCATCGGTAACAGAGACAACAATTCTGCTCCAGATCACCAATTCTTTTCATTATTAAGGCTCAATCTATGAAGACAGTAGAGGGGCCAAATAGAGCTTGTCACAGTTCCTGTTTATGTCCCTTGGTGGACTGGTTGTCATTTTGATTGATTACATTGCCAGCTCATATAATGCTTGTCTTGCAATATGTGTCCACTCAGCACTGCACAGCACACAACTTACCCTGTGGGCAGGACTATGCACTTACTCCAAACTACTGTATATATCAGCTAAGTAATGTTTCGTACAAGCACACAAACATATAGTATCAAAATATGCTGCAAAGGAAGTCGTAATGCATTTTCACTATTATAATCAATTACAGCAACTAAATCTGTCACATGCAAGTCTGAGTGACTTTTAGTAATACCATTTGGTACAAGATCAGTTGAAATTTATTTGTGTATTTTGGGGGCTTTTTTCCCCATTTCATTTAATAGTTACAGTGTAGAGACAGAAAAGGCAGGGGAGAGAGGGGATGATATGCAGAATTCAAACCCAGGCCGTCAGTTGAAAATTTATATGGATAAGACTTTTTTTTCAGCATTCTAAACTTTTGTAGAAAGATACAGTTTGAAGATGCATATTCCATTCTTTCAAGACATCAAAGTAGCCATTTCAAATGGAAACCTGCCTTTTTAGAGACAGTGTTTCATATTCACACAAGACCTTTATCTTCCTTGAGAGTGAAAATGAAGAAAGGAAATTACGTTACGACACTGTTGCAATATAACTATTTACATTAAATTATTTAAGTGTTTATAATTACATTATAATATCAGTTATAACATCTGCAGTAACTTGTAACCCATGGGCATAATAAAGAAACTGTGCTAGCCCACCTACTAAAAATAATGAAAATGCTAATTTAAAAATCTGAAACTGCCTCACATGTTGAAGTTTAAACTCCAGTACTTTTTAAATCAGAGCTTCAGGCACATATGCCCTATGTCTCCTAGAAGATATGTTCTCCACATATTTGCATAGAAATTGCATGAATAATGTGCCCCTATTGCTAAATAGCCTTAAAGTTGATATTTGGCTGCAAGGGCTTAAGTGATCATTTAATATGGATTAGCTCACTCAAATCTTGGTGAATTGCCTAGGTTTTATTGTTAGTATTGGATATTTTATTAGGAAGCTTTGCATAAGCCCATAAAAGTTTTGACTCCCCTCACTGAATTGTTTCACATGTCACTTACCTCTACTCCTCAGTAAGCTAAGTGTAGAAAAATGGGCAAGTGGCTCTGGTTTCAAACTGGAACAAATGAGACAAAGTAGCACCAAATGGAACATGTTCCCTTTTGTAGGCCTTTCCAGGGTTACGTTGACTTTAAATGGCTTCTAAATGCCTGGCTCAGCAGTGCAAATAAAATTAAGTTATTGAATACAATGACACTGATTTTCCCCTCATTGTGCTATTAATATTTGTTGTTGTATAACTAATGTTGTCTTCAGTAGAGTAGCTGTGACTGAGACTAATTGACTGCATATTTACAGTTCTATTACATTTAAAGTCTTAGCTGCATATATCCTAATTTATATGCCTTTCTTCAAGTCATCTGGACTGTTAGTGCTGCTGACCTGCTGTATACTGTAATTATTCTAGCTCTACCATTTGCTATAAAAATATTTTGTTGTGTCATTAAAATACTCCTGCAGACTTTATTGTCTTATTTCAGTTGCTGTACTGAAAATGTGAAAATATATAGTGAATTTTGGAGAACAAGTAACTTCAACAAAGGACTTTTTATGTTTTAAGTTGCACATCTTCTGGAACCTTATCCACAAAGACCAGACACTGTTTTCCTTCTTACATTTACATTACATTTACTCATTCAGCTGCCACTTTTATCCAAAGCGACTTACTAATGCTTACAATTGTCACATGCCTCTGAAGCAACAAGGGGTTAAGTGTCTTTCTCATGGACACATTGTTGGATGTGTCACAGTGGGAATTGAAACCTGGGTCTCTCACGCCAAAAGCATGTGTCTTATCCACTGATCCATGGCCACCCTATTCTTTAATTCAATCTGTCATTATTCTGTAAAACTTAGACACTGCAGAATGTAGAATTCTGTTCGGATGGTGATGATGATGAATAACAGTTTCTCATGCAGCTCTCTTATTTCTGTTTCATCTAGGTTGCCAGCTCCAACTGTAGCAAACACAAATCGATGACTGAGAACTCCGCCTCCCATGATGGACAAGAAAAGTGGTGAGTGTCACTAAGCGGGCTTTTAACAAACAGTCCCCTTGATTCTAACTCGTGCCACAAATCAGTTTCTTATGATTTTTAATTAATTAGTCATGGGCTGTAGAATCAGATTTTGTGTTCATTATACGATATCTGACATAATGGGTTAAACATGTAACTTCTTGGTCCATTATACGGGCAAAAGCAGTGAAGGGTTTTTCCTTCAGGTGATAACCAATCTCTGTCTCATAAGTTGACACAGCATGAGCAGCATTTTGCATGCTGATTAGTATGTTTTGGCGCAATCACTGCATGATAATTACTTCCCAGTAAGTGATATGGTTTTACATAATGAAGCACCTTGTGTGCAGCACAGTACAGCCTGTCTGTACAAGTGGGTGAATAATGCTAATAATAATCTGTTATTTGGTTCATGTTCATTTTGTCAAAAATTTCAGCTATAGTTGTCATTGTAACTATTTGTAGAAGCAGTAGAAGACTGATCAATCAATATTGATTGATTTTCATGTTAATTCCTTATAGCCAACGGCTTTCAGACCAAGGCCAGTGAGGGCGGTGTTCAGAGGAAGCAGCTGCCCTACTCAGTGGAAACTCCCTATGGCTTCCACCTGGACCTGGACTTCCTCAAGTATGTTGACGATATTGAAAAAGGCAAAACCATCAAAAGGGTCCACATTCAGCGCAGGGTCAAGGGCCCACCCAAATTCAGCACTCTGCCCAGGAATTTCAGCCTTCCTGGGCATGGGGCTAGGCCTGCCCCTAAGGAAAAGGACAGCACATGGTCTGGGACATCCACCCTAGGGCCCAAGCCTAAATCAAGGGTAACAGAGGTCCAACAGATCTTTGACTTCAAGGCAAGTGAAGGGGCAACTTCAAGCCAGAGCAGCAGGGGAACAACCAGTCAGGGAACTGGCTACAGTTCAGCTAAGCCCAGAGATGAAGTAGGAGCTGGGGCTCGGGATGTTGAAGAGAAAACTGTGGAGATTCAAAGTCGGCCGAACCTGCTCCGAGCATCAAGCATGCCCATCACCCTACAGCAGCGGAAAGGTTCTGATTCAAGCAGTCCAGACCGTATTGTGGGAACACCGGAGAGTGGCTCAACGGAGAACATGTTCCGGGCTTCACCGGACATAACAGAGAGACGGTGTGTTCCCCAGGATCGGACAGGGCTTCACCAGCAGATCACAGTAGCGCTGAAACGGGTCAGAGAACTAGAAGAGCAGGTCAAAACAATCCCAGAACTAAAGGCTCAGATCTGCTCACTGAGGGAGGAGAGAGAGCAGCTACTGCTTCAGCTCCAAGCCCAGGCCCAAGCCCAGGTTTCCATATCATCCTCTACAATAGCACAGAGTTATGATTCTGGGACACACACTCAGCCACAAGGACAAAGACCTTCAGAAGGGTTCAACTTAGCTCTGATGACTCAACGCACTGGAGGTTTAGAAGCTTCAGAGTGTGTGCCAGCAAAGCCAGGAACAGGGAAAGAGAAACAAAGTGTGACAGAGAAAAGTACAGTGTTACAAAAAGAGAGGGAGATAAATCAGGAATCTGTCAAGAGTTCCTCAGCACATGGAGACATGGGTACATTGTCAGAGAGACAGTCACAGCCATCAAAAAAATCAGACCAACAGAAAGAGACATCAGAGAGTCCACTGGAACATGCTGTGCAAAAGCTATCACAGGACATTGCAGGACAAGAATTATCATCGCTTAGGATGGCTATAAAAGATGTAGAGACTAGCAGTATTCAAGATGGTAATGCAGCAAAAGGAGGAAAACTTGAGGAACCAGACCGTATGAAGCTGCAGGAGAAGTTAATGACACTGGAGGCTAAACTTACTCAAGCTAGCCAAGAGCTGGAGAGAACTAATCTTCTTTTGAAAGAACAATTAGAGGAGAACAAGGTAAAAGAGGAAAGAATACTACAACTGAGTGATGGAATGAGAGTGGAGGTGTGTACTACAGAAGCATACAGCAGACCAAGAAGAGAGAGTATTGACACAGGGACAGAGACTGAGAAGGTAGATTTTTCAAACCAAGAGACAGAGACAGAACCACCTGGTAAAGTAGATCAGGGAACAGATACAGATAGAATATGTATTGAAGTGGGTGTACCCAAACCAGAGACCGGAAGTATAGATCAAGGAACAAAGAATAATAAAGTTGACACACATGAACAGGTGACAGAGATGGAGGCAGAAGTAGCTCCTGTGAGTCCACCAAGACCCAGAGCCAACAGCATGGAACGGGGCACAGTAACTGAGAGGATCACCACTCAGGATCAGATGACCGAGACACCAGTTGCTGAAAGGGTCAACCAAGTCACAGAAACAGAAGGAGAGACAATAACAGATCATCCTCAGAGACCGAGGGCCAGCAGTGTAGATCGGGGGACAGAGACAGAGAGAGTGAACACAGTGGACAGAGTGACAGAGACAGAGGAAGCAGAGAGGACAGACCAGCAGACTGAGACAGAGATAAACAGACAACAGGATAACAATCCAGGAAGAGATGCAGAAGTCGAGAGTCAAGTGAGAGAAAGTGCTGGCAGAGAAACAGTAGAAGATGTAGTGACTGTGGTCAGTGAAAGAGTGGAAGCACATGAAATAATTCAAAGAGAAAGCGGAGTTGAACAAACTGTTGTTTCAGATATTGTAAGCCAGGATGAAGCTTGTGCCAGTCCACTTGTTGTAGCAGGAGAAAATACAGAAAATGAAATTGAAGCTGTTATGGCACAGAATGACTCAGAAACAAAGGAAATGATCGCCCCAAAGAGTGAAGTAACAGAAATTGTTAAAACACAGCAGATTGCACTTGAGACTGTAGAAAAGAAACAAACAACAGAAGGTGAAATTGTATGTGCAACAATCAAAGAAACTGTGGTCATTGACACAGTTGTAGTAGCAGCAGAGAATGGAGCTGAGAAGACAGTAGCTCCTGTACGACCCCAGAGAGGCCGAAAGCCCTCGGCAGAGCAGGCACAGCCATCACCTCCTCAACTTCAGGCTGCACCTGTGCGTCCCCGTAGGGGATCCAATGAAACTCAAGCCGATCAGTCCCAGCCCCATGTGCAGGTACAGGGTCCACCTCAGCTCAAGACCCAAACCCCCACACAGCTCTCTGAACCACAGGTAAAACATCCAGCCATATCTCTGTCTCAGGCTGGGGACCACACCCTAGAAAAGAGGACTCCTGGGGAGTCTAATGAGAAACAATCTCAATCACAACCTCAGACTGAGACTCAGTGCCCTTCTCCAGGCTCCAGTGAAGTCCAAACCCGACCCAAATCAATTCAAGCACAGTTTCAGTCTCAAACCAGTGCAACTCGACGGGACTCCAAAGAGCTTAAAACACCACAGAGAGGATCCAGGGTATCACAACCTCCTATTCGTGGATCCGGAGAAGCCCAGACTCACCAGGTGTCATGTGACACCCAACCTCAGTCTCAGGGCTCTCGTAGAAGTTCCAGTGAGACTCAACACCCTCACAAAGATACCAACGAGACACAATCACTGCGCAGGGGCTCCAGTGAAACATCCCAGCGTGGTGGTTCAAGTGAAGCCCAGGCCTCACGCCGGGATACTGGAGATGCCCAGCCTCCTCGTAGAGGCTCCAGTGAGTCACCAACATCGCCTGCGGCTTTGGGCCAAGTCGTAACACGGTTAACAGGGCTTTTGGGGGAACAGTGGGCACAGCTGGGGAGCAGCTCTGGAACTCAACAGATGGCCAGCCAGCAGGAAGGCCCCAGCACACAGAAACAGGCGGCAGGGAAAAGAGCAGAGGCAGCCAAAGGAGCATCAGCCAAGCCTGCAGGGAAAGCAGTCCCTACAGCAACAACAGGGAAACCAGCAGGGAAGCCTGGTCCCTCCAAAATGAGCTCTATTCAGAGTCAACTGGTCAGCTCCCTCAGTGTCCTCTCTGCCTTCTACTCACCAGGCCAGAAAGCTGCTGCTGCCAGCAAACAGCAAGAACAAGGTAGGCCTGTGGTTCAGTTAGGAACCTGTGGTTTATACTGTATATACATGTTTGTATCTCTCTGTCATATATGTACTTACATATATGTAATAGACTCAAAAATGAAGGGGTTTAATAAACTGATACTTTGCCAGTAGTCTAATGACCCTGAGTGATATGGACATGATTTAGTGTCACATCTACCTACTAATACGACCAATTATTGTCAGTGGTTTACCCGAAGGCGAAACATCTACCTTGCCTTCTAGTTCAAAGTTCTGTTATCTCTGTTTTTTTAATTTCAGTTTTAGTCTACTCCACTGTAGCGTCTTCTTCTGAAACTTTTATAACATTACAGAGGTAAAAGCTTAACTCAGCAGGCTCCATCTCTACTTAACCATTTTAATAATCAACTTGCCAAACCTGTTTGTAGTTTATTATATTCAATACAAATATAACATATTATTTGAATGACAACATTAACGTAACAGGTGAGGTAAAAGAATAGCATTAATCTGCTGAGAAACTGTAAACCACATGATGATATTATGATCATATACTCTGTGTTGGCAGCACATTTGCATTTAATAATATATAGACATTTAATATATATTGTGTGTCAAAGATACAATAACTATTGGCTGTTACATAAAAGGGTGGACAACAAACTAAGCACTGGTGAAATGACATGGTACAATATCGTTCAAGAGTATATCAAGTACATATTGCTTGCTTTACACAGTATTAACAGACACACTTAAGGAAGTACACAAGCCCTTACTTACAATACAGAGTCAAATGGACACTCAAGCACAGAAACACACACACACACACACACACACACACACACACACACACACACACACACACACACACACACACACTTTCTTCCCTCTTTTGATGTCTCGCTGTTTTGTTTCTGGCCCAGGAGCTGAAGTACAGAATCACTCTGCTATCACACACATATTTTATGTTCAAAGTTCATTTTAAGTTCAGTGTTGGGAGTACAGTATACAAGAGTGATTTTGAAATTTGAAGTTGCTTTCTACATCTTTGACACCTGAGATTCCCAGCCGGACTTCTCTAACCTCAAATTACATCAGTGTTTTACTTCTACAAATACTGGAAGAAGAAACCACCACTGTTACATTGAGAACTCTCACTCACCTCAGTCTTCACAGATTTGAGTTGAGCTTTAGATATTTGTATGGATGAGTGAAATATCTGTGTCTCTGACACAGTGAGGGAAGGTAAAATTACACTATTTTTTATTCATTAAAAGATGGCAAGAGGGTGTATATAAATGCCAAATATGTTCTTAACTTTCCCATTTCCCTGCTGCTATCTCCTTGAGAAATACCGGATCTAAAAGCATTCTTCTTCTTCCATGGTGGTCGCTGGGATCTTTTCAGCTGGTGTTTTTTGGCTCAAAGCCACATCCTTATGTCCTTACATGAAACATTACAGAGCCTCTGCACCATGTCTGCTGTCAGGCACAACTAAGATAGCCATACTGGGCTTAGAGCCAAGGGGAGTCAGCAAAGGATCCCATGCAGAATCAATTATAGGGCAGTTACATACTTGACAATGTCAAGGTTGTATGTTGCTATCAAAGCCTAAAATCTTGACTTGTATATGCCTGAAAATAACTGCAATTGTCTGTTGATTTGACCAAGATTTTTTTAGTGTACTGTCATCTGTCATCATGTCATGTCATATTTGCGTGTAACAATATTTGTCAGGCAGAGAAAAGTCATTTTTCTTGACAGTGTCGTACAGAGGACAGACTTCTTTGTAAATGTAAATGCTCTGTATTTGTATAGCGCCTTTCTTAACTTCTAGACCTCTCAAAGTGCTGTTTCCTTGCATTCACCCATTCATACACTGAGCCTAAGTGGTGAAACAGATGTCAGATTCATATACCAATAGAACAGCCATCAGGGGCAATTTGGGGTTCAGTGACTTGCCCAAGGACACTTTGAGGAGGAGCCGGGGATTAAACTGCCGATTTTCCGATTAGTGGGCAACCCGCTCCACCTCCTGAGCCAGAGCTGCCCGCCTCCATCTGTCTGGAGTATACAGATGGAGACCTAGCTTCTCTTACCCCTGCAAACACAGTTATTCCATATGATGAGCTTTACTAATTGATAAGGCTCAGGAGGTAGAGCGGGTTGTGCATTGATCATAAAGTGGTATATATAATACCCGGCTCCTCCTTTCCACATGTCCAAGTGTCCTTGAGCAAGACACTGAGTTGCTCCCGACGGGTAGGCCAGAGTCTTGCACCTCCGGTAAGGTATAAAAAGTGCTATATAAATGCAATCTATTTACCATTTACTTTCTTGTAATTGTATTGAGAGATTCTTAAATATCATCCAGGCTCAACGTGTTTTCTAAGGGATACACATACAGGCAGTGGACCATATACGCGTGCACAAGGAAATTCAGCCAGTGTGTGTCAACCATTGTCTGTGGTCTCATGAGCTACCAATATCAGTTTGATGTATTGCTTTTACTGAGCCTAATTTTCTTTCTTTGCTGGACAAAAATACACTCCTTCAGAAATTTTTTATAATTATATGTTTATAGAAACTTATATTTGAACAGAAAATGGAGCAACAGTGTCTGCATGTTTGTACGTAGGTAGACATCCTCTTCTAGAGGCTATTCAACTACAAAGTTTAAACTGTTATAAAGCTATAGGTAACAAGTCTTAGGAACGCTACTGGAGGTTGAACATGTTGGTCTAAAATCTTACAAAGATAATATATATTTTACATAATTTTCATTGTCATTCAAACATTCAATGACCTTATACAGTTAGGGGTAACCAGTCTGCAAGTCCATTCTCATTGCACTCATGCATTCATTGACAGCAAGTTTACGAAGGGTTGAAGTGAGTGTCAAATCATACATCTAGCTATGGTTCAAGTTGTGATGGCGACACTGGTTAGTAACCATGAATGTGCTGTCTTCCTAACCTAAATCAAGTAGTTTTAAAGTACTACTGAGCTATACCTTAACAAAAAGGGTGGTAGATCTTAAATGCTCATAGAAGCCACTGACAACAACCTTCTATGTTTTGTATTTAGGTATGAGAAAATGCCAAAAGTGACACAGAATATGAATTGTCTGGCATCGTGCTACATAGACATGTGCTACATGGGCGGCTGTGGCTCAGGAGGTAGAGCGGGTTAGCCGTTAATCGGAAGGTTGGTGGTTCAATCCTTGGCTCTCCCTGGTTGCGTGTCGAAGTGTCCTTGGGCAAGATACTGAACCCCGATTTGCCCCTGGCGGCTGTTCCGCCAGTGTATGAATGAGTGTGAATGTTAGTTTCCGTTTGAGCACTTAGGCTCAGTGTATGAATGTGTGTGACTGGTGAATGCAGATGTAGTGTAAAAGCGCTTTGAGTGGTCGAAAAGACTAGAAAGGCGCTATACAAGTACGGAGCATTTACAACACATACTGTAAACACTAACACTCAAATTCTACAAAGGCCTAATGAATTTTTCCCACCCTCCCTTTTTCATTCCTCTTTCTCCCCCTCTCTCTGTCCTCTTCTCCACCAGGTCTCAAATCTATTATGAAGAAAAACGGTGTTGCTGACAAGCAGGGGAACAAAGGAGCCAAGAAAAACCTCAAGTTTGTTGGGGTGAATGGAGGGTAAAATCTTCTTTTTGATCAGTGTCCAATCTCTACATGATTAATATCTTCATGTGGGCTGCAGTGTGTTGTACATTTTTAGTTGTGCCCATGCATGTCTTGTTACTGTTTTACTTCTAAATGATAATTAACCCTTAGGCATCCTTTGTGGACGTTATTGCAGAAAAACTGAATGTAATGTTCTATTGTATCCTGATTTAATTTAAGACATTCTTCAAAGACATGGATTACATATCTTTAATTTTTCAGCGTTGCCAGGTTTAATGTGTAACATTCTGCAAAATGGCTTCATCTGGATTAGCTGGTTAGCCAGAAAACTTTAAATTCAGTTTTATTAATATTGCACCAAATCATAACAGAAATTATCTCAGGGCACTTTTATAGAGAGCAGGTCCTAGACCGTATTAATGATATTAAGTGTAATAAAAGTAAAGTATACACTTTACGAAAAATAAAAAAGTACAGTCAGACTATATTGTGCTCAAATCTATTGCCCATATAGGCTAATTAGTAGGATTTTGTTCATATTCATCATGGAGAATTTTAACCAGGTAAATACTTGTTCATATTTATATTTTAGTAATCCACTGGCAACAATATTTTACATACTAGTCTATCCCACCTGTCTCTAGAAAATTAGTACAAATAAAATGTAAGCATAATAATAGATGATGGTCACCAGCTTACAGGTTAACTCAGTGTCATTGTCTATTTTGTTGATTCATGATTTTCTTTTTTTAAATAACTGTGCATTTGTTAATGATGCAGCATGAATTCTTACTAATTTTGTAGGTAGCCGACGAAAGCCCAGACAGCTTTCTCATTGTTCGTCTGAGTTTGACCACATGGACTGTGGAATAAGTCCAGCTTTGTTTCGCACATCTGATTCATGCTGTTAGTTTCAAGGCTCATTTGAAGACACACTGCCCTGAATATGACCTCACTGCTGCTACTGAGAGTGTGAATGTGTGTGCATATGAATGCATGCAATGTGTTGTACATTATGTGGTGTGTGTGCATATTTTTGTCAGTATTGATGATACCTCAGTGCTTTGTGCAAGTGTGCTTATGTCAGCATTTGCTGATGCTGGATGCAGTGTGTGTATTTGTGTGTGTACGTGCTTTTAAAAGCTAATGAATTTTAAGTAAGCAGATGGTAGTTGTTGGAAGAATAAAGGTGTGTCTATTTCTTCCTCCCTGTTTTAGAATGACCTGCAAATATAGCTGCACAGCTATTCTCCAAACAAATAATACATTATTACTGGTATTGTAAGGATCTACTCTTTTATAAAAATACACTAAGTGTGTTTTATAAGAAAGGCCATACCATTAATAAGTTATATAAGATAGTCCAGATTTGTCTTCCTGACAAAAAATATCTCTCCGTTTCTATGTTACACTGCTCGATCCCGAACAAAATTGAGCAGTTTCTATTTATAATGAGACAAACATATTAGACAACAATATTTTCTTTGACTATCTTTAAGCTTCTGCCCACAACAGGATGTGGGCTGCTGTTTGTACTTTTTCTCTTTGGATAGTCTAACCTTTCTTTGCTCTCCCTTGAGCTCCTCTGGAATCCAGGGAATGCTGTGGCCCCCTGAATGCCTCTTGTGGTGTGGTGCCTCAGTGTGTGTGCATGTGTGTGTGTCAACAAATAAGCATGAATCAGTGGCATTCAAAATAAGACTTATCTGATCATTGGCTTCACAGAGGTTCCTTCATAATACACCCCAATGATCACATGCTCTCTCACACACACACACACACACACACACACACACACACACCCTACACCACCAGAAATAACCACAGCTCTAAATATATCATCAGCCTTGAAAATGTTGTGTTTTGTCCAAGGTTTCAAATGTAAGCATACAAAAATATACCTGTGGATTTTCATGTATACGTTTAACTGTGTGAAGGATGTTTTGGATATGTGGGCGAAGTTAGTATTAGACAAGCATCTTTTTCATGTCACGCTTGAGGTCTAGAGGGGAATGACCTGTTAGTATTTATCTAGCCTTGGCCTATGTTGACTTTACTGCTTTGTTTTTACCTGCTTAGGTGTTTCATCAATGTGGCTGCTTCCGTATATGTCTAATTTCTGTACACCTGCTTACTTTTAGTGAAGAAACATGAGTTAAATGCTCCACAGCCCACAAAATGTTGTCTCACCTGCATAATTTAAAGATGAATTTCTTCTATTTTCTCACTTTTTAGGCAAAGGTTGTCACATACAGTCTTTAAACACAGACTAGAGTTCACAAAAGCTTTATTATAGATGCTATAATGTGAATAATATGTCCACTTGTTTTTGTCCTACTCCAGCTATGAGACGACATCCAGCGAAGAGTCTAGTGGAGATGAGAAGGCAAAGGTGGAGGTGGAGGAGGAAGAGGAGGACAGCTCAGAACCAGAGGTAGAGAAGGAAAAGGAGACGGAGTTTCAGCCAGCAGAGAAGTCTGAGGAGGGAGGAGAGACCCAACAGAAGGATGCAGAGGTCTCAGCTGAGGAAGGAGGTGCAGTGGCTGCAGAGAAGGAGAGTGAAAGAGGCCTGCTGGATCCAGACGTCAGCCAGGAGCTCCTGGAAGAACAGGCTGAAGGGTGAGAAAGACAGTAAAGCTTAATTTATACTTGTGAGTTAGGGTAGCTAGGGAGCCTATGCAAATGTAATTATACTTCGGGGCTATAGTGGCAACAGAAATACCACGTGTTTACCTAATGAATGACTGGCCAGCATGGACTGCTTTATGTTGCTAGTAGAGATTGTTTATAGTGAAGAATACAGGAGGCAAGTTGAAAAATTGTCTCCGTCTTCTTTTTTCAGATTTATCAAAGCTCTCAGCTGCAAACCTTATCCTCACAGTGTTCTACGCTGTCAATTAGAGAATAAAAAAAAAAAAAAAACATGACAACCGCACTGAATAGTCTCACATTAAAAAAATAAAATTAAGTAGACCTCCCCACTGTTCCTCATATCATAAATTGAATGAAAGAATGTAAACACAGTCAATGCACGGAATATATTTAAGCACAACACAGTCATATCACGTAAAATGCATCCATAAAGATGTGTGATGTCAGGTAAGCACAATAAGTGCTTTGTTTTGTGGCCAGCTAGTCTATATACTTTGTCAGAGACAGGTGCTGAATGACGCTTCTCATACATACACACACAAACACACACACAAACGCACACAATCCAGAAATCTAGTTAAAACACACTCATAACTACTTACACTTCGTACACCCCTGCTTACTTCTTAATATTTTGCACAGACTCACTGCCACACTCACACACTATAAGCCTCTGTCTATACACATACACACTAAATGCACACCTGCTTCCACATACACTTTAATGTACAGTAGCTTCACATAACTTGCTCCTCCCCGACTCAGTATAAGCTGCTCTCAATCTAATAGAGGCACACAGACACACTTCATTTCCTTGAGTGCCCCAGGGCTCGACATTAGGCGGGGTCCCTAGGAGAAAACAGGAACTGTATTAACTTATCACTCAGCACATGTCAGATCATTCCATGTTATGGCTGGAGTACAGTACACAGTGAGAGTGTCATCCACTCAGGTTTAGTGCTGTTTGAGATGTACAAAATGACTTGTACAGGTCTGCATGAATGTTCTTGACCCAAAAACAAATAATAAAAAAAAAAGATCTAAGATGGGTATAAAAAAAAGACTGCCCCTTACTGTGTCATCTGGCCTTTGTTTCCAGGGAGAAAGTTGACAAGAGTTTTATAGATGCCTGCCTCTATGTAAAAGACCGCATGGAAGAGGTTTCATCCCCAGATAAAGAAATGGTAAGAATTTCTTTTAGCTGACAGCTGTGGGAGATGATTTTATGTACTTTATCAAATCTGAAAAGTTGACCTCCACACTGTATCAACTATAGGCTTTTGCCTTGTGTGTATCTTTTTCTAATTCTGCAAAAATGACGCCCTTTTCACTTTCCAAATTTTGTTTCTCAAACAGTGATAAAAACAATTTTTGTGGAGAAATGTGGTTTACAGTGTCATTTCTCAGGCTGAAAATGCAAGCTGCTTAACAGCCCAAACAGTAAAGATTATGTTCAGGAAACAATAAAAATGCTGCCACTGGCATCTTTTTCATTTATATAATTTCTATTATTCCTCTCTCCTCAGCGCCAGGTTTTAGTGGTGCTCTACCAGGAGTGGTTCAAGGTTTCCAGTCAGAAAAACTCACAGGCTGATACTGTCAGATTATACCTGCGACAAGTGGGCATGACCACACCCACTCTTCTGCCATATGTCGTTAACTTGACAGACGGCAATGGGAATATGGCCCTCCACTACAGTGTGTCGCATTCAAACTTCCCTGTGGTGAAACTGCTGCTAGATACTGGTGAGATGCAAACACACACAGCAACACACACAGTGGAATGGAAAACAGAAGAGCATAAATGCAGAAACACAATTGATCTATCTAAAGACATTTGCTAGATAAGGCATTTAAACCCTGCACAAAACTGTACAAAATGCTCTCTTTACTCAGTAAAACATTGTGTTTGTGTATTCAGGTCTATGTGAGACAGACAATGTGAACAAGGCAGGCTATACCCCAGTGATGCTTGCTGCACTGACAGCTGCTGAGACCCCTGATGATCTGGAAGTGGCACAACAACTGTTGAAACTGGGTGACGTCAATGCATGCTCCAGACAGGTAATATACATGCTTGCACTGACATATCAGTTCCCCTGAATATACTGAATATCAAAGGATTTGCTGTGTTGTATGATGTTTTATTGTTGTAAAGGAAGTTGTATTTCAGGGACAGTAAGTCTGGGAATTGGATACATCCTCTGGGGAAATCAGAGCATGTTAGGAAATGATTACAAGTCACTTACAGGAATACACCATAACATCAGCATTTTTTTTCGACAGGAAGTCCATCTGTAGTGCATACCAACCAAAATTTATAAATGGGAAGAAAAAGCATGTTAGACTTAAAGCATACTTTGGTCAAGGGAACCCTTAAATGTACTCTCACAAAGTAGTGTATGATCTCCAAGCAGAACTTTGAGGCTCTCATACATATACCCCAGATATGAAAGTTTAATTTGAAAACATAAATCTTTACTCTTAATTTTTCACTTTCACTCACCTTTCCTTCTCTTCTTCTTCTTCTTCTTCTTCTTCTATCCTTCTTTTCCTCCCTCATTTTTCAACCCTGCATCTCTATACATTTATCTCATTATCTCCCCCTCAAAACTGCCCTCTCACTGTTTAATTCTAATTCTCTGTATTTCTCACTGTTTCTCTAGGCAGGCCAGACGGCACTCATGCTTGCAGTGAGCCACGGTCGAGTTGCCATGGTGAAGCTGCTCCTGAGCTGCGGCGCGGATGTAAATGCCCAGGACCGCGAGGGCTCCACAGCCTTGATGTGCGCCTGTGAACATGGACACACACATATCGTTCGTTTGCTGATGGAGACAGGTCGCTGTGACACCTGCCTCACAGACAAGGTGAAGATAATTCAAACTCTCCATCAAAATGGTTTAGAAGGTATCAAAGGTGAGAGCCCTCCTGAATGTGTTGTCTCTTCCCCCAGTGATGTCTCATCCAGTAAGACATACAGTAAGACCTTTTCAAGAGCTTCAGATTGTCCATACCTTCCCTCTAGGATGTGTACATGAGTATCCTCAAACAGTTTATATTTTTTTCTTGTAACTGGGCATCAATTGAGGCATCTACAGATCTGTACTTTGCACGTCACTACATAAACAGTGTGGCTCCACTGATGTTTTAGCATGCAGTCCCATGGGTGAACTGTTGCCTTAGTGCGCTGCCAAGTTTAAAATATATCACAATGTTGTGGGAATAACAGAATGCGGCTCATCCCACACCAAATATGCTCACTGACAGACCTGTGTTTAAACATGTTTATAAAATACAGAGACAAATTGAGCTGCTCTCTGTAGTAAAAAAACATGGCTTTGGTATGGATTCACCTCTTACTCCCACAATAGCATGCATTTATACATGGAGCAAGTAGCAGGGAAGACACTGATCCCTACTGATGGGGAACCTGAGACTTCCTATCTGTGCTGTTTTTGTTTTGTTTTGTTTAATTCTTTACTGAGAAGCCTGGGATCACTGCTTCATTTCAACAGCTGGTTATCTGCTGCTCGTACTACATGAATGGTCACACAGTCAGTGCAAGCTGTCCCTGTGGTTAGCATTAGGTGACCAGTAGTTGGTGCCTGGCCCACGCATGGGAGATTTATAGTTTAACCTAGTATACAATTGATTCCTCTAGATTCCCCTCTGCAGTCTGAGGTTCCCATTCAAAGAATGGTCATATTACATATGGTATCTTGCTCTGCCAGTGGACTTACCCCTTGCAAACAATCTTTTGAGCACTGTCGTTAACACTGTTCCAACACTGCAGCTGCTCCACACCTGTGTCCAACTGTGATTCTAGTACCCAAAGGATACAAGTATTGTCACTGCATGTCATTGCTTCCAACAATACTATAACATTATGGCATATATACAACATTTTCCTACCAATTCCCAGGGGGATTAGAATTCACCTCACTTCATGTGTTCTCAACAATTAGCCTAAATCATGAAAACTCAGTACAGCAGTTCAGTTTGTAGGTTGTTTGACCAGAATTTGACTGTACCATATGCATGACCGATATTTGTCTATACAGAAGTATCCTGCAATTATCCTTTAACTCAGCCATCATTTACTGTGTACATGACAACTTGTGAGCACATACACTATATTTAATGGTAGTGGGGGACAAACATCTAAAAACTGAGAAAATATGCAGCTCTGGCAAGCAATATTTGATGATATGCAAGTAAATCAACAGGTTTGTGAAATTTACATAAAGTATAATTCAGAGCATTCACACTGTTCTGAGACATCTGTGTTCCCATGAGACAAGAGGTCTCTCTCAGTATGCAGCCTTGTCTGCTCTAGTTTGCTGTAATATCTAATATCTAGTCTTTGATTAGACAAATGAATAGGAAACACCAAGACAAACTGTGAGAATGATGCAGGAAGTAACAAGCAGCATTAATGCAAATATAGATGTAGCATTCTCATTTTTGATAACTGCTAGTGGAGCATGACTTGTTCCATAGGTATTAAGTATGTTGAGTTTAATGAGAGACAGAAATATCTGAGATGGTGATGATTACAGAAATTGAAAATAAAGACTTCAGTAAGAGCACCAAAATCATCATGTGTGTTTAAGATGAGCAATAGACAGACAGTTCTCTTTAAACCTTGTACATTACATATATTTTGATTTTCATAGGTTTTGTAGTATTCATATTGCTCCTGGAGAAAGTATAGTGTTTTTTATTTATGTCTTTTTTGTCTTTCTCCCATTTCACTTTCCCTACCAAACCTCCCCAGGCTTATTATCATGCACGATGCAAAGAAGCTTATCCGGGGATATTATTACAATCTTTGTTGCACATTTTGATGTGTAATTTGGGAAGAAAATTAGATAATATTTACAGAAACATGACAAATCATATTCTCAACGAATATTTGGCATTTCTAGATTTTTTTTTTTCTAGAAACTGAACCCAGGTCTTCCAGTAATGTTACCATAGTAGTATTGCCTGTGTCAGGGCAGATGCAAACATACTGTAAATACCCACTTGCTAGACAAGGAGCAACACAACACTGCCACTGTCAGGATAAGAACACCCACTGCAATTTCTTTGATAGGAAAGTATGACATTTTCTTTCTGTTTTTCCACAGAATGGACAGACAGCACAATCGGTGGCAGAGGGAGGCTCCCACCAAGACATAGTTGACCTTCTGAAGGCCCATGCTGAGACCCGAGCCTCTGAGCCCTCATCTACCACAGACCTCCTCTGAGCCAGGCCAAACCTGTTTACTTTCAGCTAACTGACCCACAACCCTTCAATTTCCAAGACCCTCTGCCCACCAACAAAGAGGGAAAAGGTTGAATTTAAGGCAAGATGACACCATACAAGACTGTGTGACCAGTGGAAAAAGTGGATACGCTCTGTTTACTGTGGAACTACATATACACTTCTGAGGGTGTCTAGCCATTTATGCCCACATTCTTCTTCCACATCTCTGCCAACATGCCCAGTGGGTGTTTATGGATATGCTGCATCAACCACTCAGTGGACAGACAACAAAGGGGGGCCGGTTGGATTGATGATAAGAAATTACCATACTGACAAGTGTGATTGACGGGATATGGTGAGAATATAACGAGGGACCAGGGATGGACGGATTGTCAAGGGTTCTTATCATCAACTTTCTCTTCAAGCAAAATACTAAGCACATGATCTACCTGTCAAATATACGATATTGAATATGACATTATTTCTATTTTTTCTTTTGTGACATTGACATCATCCTTGTCATATTTGGACATAAGCCATTATTGAGAACATAGTATGTAGAATGATATTAACAGAATATAATCATATACAAACACAGAAACTGTATTTTCTACTGCACTTTTTTATTGTGTTCGTGTACAGTAAATAGGCCTCTCTAATATAGATGTCCAAAAGAACCTATTTATCTCCAAAACAGCGAATTAGAAAACTGAAAAAAAGAATAGAACTTTAGTCGAATTTCCCATTATTCAGTGGATATTTGATATCATTTAATGTATTGTTTTTGCAATAGTAATGATGTTTTTCACATACGGGACATGGTGATCAACATCTGTGAAATACTGAAAAACTGTAAAACTTAGTTGGAGATAAAATGTTTCTGTTGGGCACAAAGGAAATGATTTTTATAACCACCGTATAACCAGATTAAAGAAAGACAAAAGTCTTCTAAGAAGAGGACTGCACTGTTCAGGAGGTGCTGCATGCCAATACACAGTTATTCCCCTACTGGCTGTCTTATAGTACTAAATAACAGTATGTTGTAATACTGTCTGTTCTTATGATTAACATCTCTCTCTTTCTTCTTCCCTCAGTTCAAATATAATGTATGTCTTGTTCGCCTGCTCGTTTCAAATCAAATCATGTATGCAACTGCTACAAAATGCACAATGAATGTCAGGCTGGCTGTGATACATTCCAAGAAAACATGTAGCAAGTAACTATACTGGCATGGATCATGGGACTAACAGAGACATAGTCATAGACATACAGTAGTCAGTGGATATGGCAGACATAGGAATGACTTTTGATAGTTTTACCATGTGTGACTAAATACATTTATTATAAGAAAATCTTGATTACAAAGATCTGTGCTACCTGTCTTCAAGTTACTAACTAGTTTACTTTGTTCCTGCCTCAAGGCATTCATATTTCAAATGGTGAACTAACAAGATGTGAAAGTAATGGGTTGTTTATGGCTTGCAGTCCTAAAAGAAGCAATACTAATGGAATACTACCTTTTCAGTCAGAAACTAGGTAGGGAAAGAGGTGTTGGTCTAGCCTTAATCAGATGAAAGGTGAGATGTGCTTCAGGGAATGTGGTCTTTTTCTTCTGTTTTACACAAACCTACACCTATATTCCTAAAGTTTCTTAAAACAAGAGTACTGGTCTGATACAATGTTTACAACTTAACAGCTCCCCTTCAGTGACCCCTGCAGAAATCCCCAAAATGTCCAGCAGGTCAGGAAGTTTACAGGAAACAAAGGGATCAATACATTTACAAGTAAACAGACATCTGGAGGAGTGTTTTCACCCTTCTGGAGAAGGATCATGACTGGTGGATGTAACCAATAACTTTTTTTTGAAAATTTAAATTTACATGAAGTTGCGTAAATTTAAAAAGAATGGTCAAAATGAAAGAAGCATACCCCATAATGCTCCAAGATAACCCTGAAGGTATCATCTGGGTTATTTTCACTGACACTGACAAACTCCTCCAGAGAAGATATTAAAATATTGTTTTTCCAAGCTGAGTAGTGCTCCTCATGGCGGCTAACTGACCTTTCAAGTGTAAATTTGGTGCAGTGCCTCTTTAAATAATGCCGGGGATTTGCAGGGATTACTTAAGGTTGAATTTAAAGGGGAATACCACTCATTTTAACAACTGCCATATACGTGGTCTGTGACGGTCCAGTCAGTCTTTATGATAAGACAAAATTAATAACTTTCTACAGAGGCAACATTGTGGTCAAAGACTTGGATCACAGTGAACTCTGGAGAGTATTCAGCATTTGTTTCTTACTGACAAATTAAACTTCTTAGCTCTTATAATGCATTGGTTTGTTTAGTCATAATAAATCTACACTCAACACCGACCACTTTATTAGGTACACCTTGCACCTAGTACCGGGTTAAACCCCCTTTTGCCTTCAGAACTGCCTTAATTCTTCGTGGCATACACTCTGTTGGAAACATTCCTCAGAGGCTTTGGTCCATATTGACATGATAGCATCACGGAGTTGCTGCAGATTTGTCGGCTGTACATCCATGATGTGAGTCTCCCGTTCCACCACATCCCAAAAGTGCTCTATTGGATTGAGATCTGGTAACTGTGGAGGCCATTGGAGAATAGTCAACTCATTGTCATGTTCAAGAAACCAGTTTGAGATGATTTGAGCTTTGTGACATGGTGCATTATCCTGCTGGAAGTAGCCATCAGAGGATTGGTACACTGTGGTCATAAAGGGATGGACATGGTCAGGAACAATACTCAGGTAGGCTGTTGAGTTTAAACGATGCTCAATACTACGGTACTAAGGGGCCCAAAGTGTGCCAAGAAAATATCCCCCACATCATTACACCACATTCAAGGCAAGATGGATCCATGCTTATATGTTGTTTACGGAAAATTCTGACCCTACCATCTGAATGTCACAGCTGAAATTGTGACTCATCAGACCAGACAACGCTTTTCCAATCTTTTATTGTCCAATTTTGGTGAGCCTGTGCAAATTGTAGCATGCAGTCACATGCTGCAGTCACATTGTGTTCTTAGCTGACAGGACTGGTACCCGGTGTTGTCTTCTGCTGCTGTAGCCCATCTGCTTCAAGGTTTGACGTGTTGTTTGTTCAGAGATGGTATTCTGCATACCTTGGTTGTAACAAGTGGTTATTTGAGTTACTGTTACCTTTCTGTTATCTTGAACCAGTCTGTCCATTCTCCTCGGACCTCTGACATCAAGGCATTTATGTTTACACAACTGCCGCTCACGAGATAGTTTCTCTTTTTTGGACCATTCTCTGTAAACCTTAGAATATTGTGCGTGAAAATCCCAGTAGATCAGCAGTTTCTGAAATACTCAGACCAGCCCGTCTGACTCCAACAACCATGCCATGTTCAAAGTCAGCTAAATCCCCTTTCTTCCCCATTCAGATGCTCGGTTTGAGCTTCAGCAAGTTGTCTTGACCACGTCTACATGCCTAAATGTACTGAGTTGCTGCCATGTGATTGGCTGATTAGCTTTTTGTGTTGACAAGCAATTGAACAGGTGTACCTGATAAAGTGGTCGGTGAGTGTATATTGCCATGCCTAATTTAACAACTTTTTTTCTGAGATGCAGTGTGATCTGACCACTGATCATGCACCAGTACTCCCAGACACTATTAATGTGGGTGCTAATATGGGACTATATAGATTGACATGAAGATAGACTGATTATATTAGGCATCATGATTATATAGTAGTATATACAGTGGCTTAATTTACTTAGCAACAGTGGACATTTTTTAACATTATATATATATATATATATATGAAGTGTCTTAGCAATCAGATCATCGTCATTTGTTGCGTCACAAAGTAGCACATATTTTCTCAACACGAGGCTGCATTTACACAGGATCAAAAACAGAATTTCAGCACATCTGATCATTATTGGTTGTTTGTATATTAAGGGATGAAGATTAGAGTCTGTGTAGCTTTCCACATTTCAGACAACCAAAGGATGATCCGATCTGTGCTTTGTAAAATATCTGGTACATCTGGTCTTCCGTGCCTGTGTGTTAAATCTTAAGGTAAATTGCATCCATATGTTTAATCCAGTGTGACCCAGATGTAATAAGGTTTCATAACTGGCTCAGCAACCAAAGAACTGAAATCAATCTGTTTCACATGGGGTTAAGTATATAGTTTTATCTGTCCCTGTAAATTCAGCCAAATACATGTACATACAGTATTGTGAAAAATATATAACAAGTATTGACTGACAGTTTGCTCTAAAAAAAATTATTATATTATGTATTTATTCCAAATGATATATTTTTACCCTATATAGTGTACTTATGTATGCATGGACAAATATTCTGGGGATTCTGTTGGAAGGGAATTTGGATGATTGGAAATTATGCTGAGTGTTCCCTAATGATGTGATTATTCAGCTAACCTTTGGTTGGGTGGTATAGTACGTGTGTGATTTAACAAGGTTGTGGATTGTGTCATGTGCCCTTTAATGCTACCTTTGATATTTGTGGGGAAAATATGAAGCAGATTTGACACTGTCTTAAACTATAAGGGTAATATCTCCCTTGTATGAGCACCCATCTGAAAATTGAAGTGTATGTACATGACAGTCAAATGTAAAAACCTGTACCTCTCTAAAATATTCCATGTACAATGGGCTTATATGTTGCAAACCAGAGAACTACTTCTAAATAAATAAATTAATTTCAAGATTTAAAACGTATTAGATACCCATTTCATTTTGTTCTCTATCATTTCCAACAGAAAACAGCAGCTACTGCAAAGATAAGATGATGTCTGCATTGTTATTTATTTCAGTGATGCTTCTGAAACCAGCCCTTATTTTCATTTGGGAAATGCACAAAATGCTTTAATATAAGTCATGCTTTAATCTAATTACAATTACTTTAATTACTCACTACTGTATAACACAGTAGTGAGTAATTAAAGTAATTGTAATTTACAGTATGTGACAAAAGTCAGATTGGTCATTAAACTAACCTGTAATTTTAATATAAAAACTACATGTCAGACTATGCTACTTGATACACATAGCATTTCCTATCAGTTATCTTAATTGCAGCCTGAACAACATTTACAAGTAAATCACTTTGTGTTGTGGTTGTTAAACTAGGTTATATTCATTTTTTTGTTGTTGCTTAAAACAGAAAAAAAACAAACCCAGAGATTGATCTGTAACAACAATATATACCCATAGTGCCATTTCTACACAGAAATCAATTGAAAATATTCCCCATTTCACAAGAATGAAGGTGATATTGTGCAGTAAGTGCTACTAGATCATTATGCGTAATCTTTGAAACTGTTATCTGACACACTGTCCCAGTGTCCCACCATTATATGGTGTAATGAAAATCAGTGACCAGCAGATGGTGGTATTACCATGTGGTAAGATTGCTAACTGAGCGAGAACAATGGTCTCTTTTCAAAGTACTTCTAAAGTACTGTAAAATTATATCTAGACTAACCTTGGTGAAGATGTCTTGAAGGCATTCCACCTCATCCAAAAGGTTTCTTCAGTAACATTTTCTCATTACTTCATTTTTTCCAAAGACTTAAATTTGAGGAACATCATACAAGCATCAATAAAGCATCAATACAATAAGATATCTACAAGTGACACTAGATACTAGTAAGAGCAGCAATAAATACTAGTGAGAGCTATTAGCACGTATAGCATCAAAGGGGTAAATACCTAGGGAAAGAAGTAAGAGTAATAGTGCAATCAATACAAAACAATTTTAAGGAGAAAGAAGAAGAGCACCAGACGCATTTCTGACTGACTAGTGGTGGTGGGGGGCTACAAGTATTTACGCTCTGTAGGGTCATTGACACATAGAGAATGTTTAAATCCCATATTTGTTGTTAAGGGGGCATTATGGAGTTTCCAGCGGCACTAGCAGTGTGGTTTTAAGATTGTTACCAGGCATGTGCTCATATGTATGCTCGCTTGAACTCATGAGCAAGCATAATCCGAAACACAACCACTTTCATACAGAAATCCT